TACACAGATGAAAGTACAGATTATATTCAACGGAATCGTTGTTCGAACCTTGGACCTTCCGATTTGCAGTCCAGAAATTTAACCACGAGAGCCGCTTGAAAGAAATAAAGATGAAAACTTGTCAACCAATATGCTAAAATATTAAGTATCTCGAGTATTCATTTACCAGATTACGAAAAAGTATAAAACATGAAAGGACATTAAGATCGAATAAGGTATTCGACCAGAATATGAAGTGGCTGTTTTACGTCACAGAAAGAAAAAATGGAAGCGAAAAACTCATTAGCCTATATTAAAGTATTCTAATAGGTCAGGTCTAATGTAGGATGTAAAAACAATAAATCTCTGTTATTTGGTGTTTGGTGTTCAAATATTATGACGTAATACTCATAACTTATATGTTTCATACGTGAGCACAACCCACATAAGCTGTGCCACATCTACGTCAGATACGCGTATTTGAAAACTGACTCACCGGTGTGGAGGTTCGAGGAGACCTGACGCCGTTAGTGGTCTTGTCATGCATCTCAGTTGAAAGTTCTGGTGAATAGAAAGCACATTCCTGATTGGAGGCGTGTCCATTTTCAGTAAAACGATCTGCAGAAAAAAAAACAACAGTTATCCGTTTTAGGCCATATGTGGCACATTAATCTTCCTTGGCAAGTAGGCAGTAAGCCTATAAAATGCGTTGTTTGAAGACCTACAAATGACAAAAAGCCATGTGGTAAAACACACAGGGACAATAAAAAATCAGTGTTCATTTTATGAGTCCTAAGGTGATAAAAATGGGGTGCAGTATTGACACAATAATGGAAAACATAGGAACTAATATGGAATTTCAAAACTGACTCGTTAGTACACACTTCAAAGTCGTTACAGATTTTAATCCAAATTAAATAACTATGTTCTTAAATAATGAAAGGATTTTGCTCATATAGAAACATTTTTATTATTGGATTCAAATATGGCTAAATATTTTGAGATTGCTATATTTTTATCTAGTAAGAAAACTGGCACGAATTTAACAACAGAAAGACAGGTTACTCAGTGCAATTGGAAAATGAATGGGGTGCTAAAACTATGCAAGATTTGTATTAATAGAACGGTTTGTTTGTTTGTTTGATAAGATGTTAAGAATGTTTTAACACACACGCACACACACATATATATACAGTCAGTAAACAATTGCTCCGTTGTATAACACAGAATAATGAATTAAACGAAATCTCGTGATATTATTCATATACCAAATTTAATTTAGATTACCATATGGTGAAGTAAAACGAATTCCAAACCCTATAGGTTTGTTTGTTTATATTTCGCGAAAAACTAATCGAAGACTATCTGTCTTAGCCGTCCCAAATTTTGAAGTGGTAGACTAGAGGGAAGACACTTAGTAAACACCATCCTTTGGTTACTCTTTTCCAACAAACAGTGGGATTGACCGTTACATTATAACACTTCCACTGCTGAAAGAGCGAGCATGTTTGCTGAGAGGATTCGATCCCGCGACCCGCAGCTTGTGAGTAGAGCACCCTAACCACCAAACCATGTTAGGCCTAGTAGAACGGTTTGGCTTTTTAGCCTGGTTTTTAGTTTTAAGCTATGTAGGTAGCTTTCTTTGACCAGAAGTTAATATTGATTATTTTAACGGTGTAAATTGGATGGAGAATGAAGTTTCCGTTAATTCAGAAGTGTTTCTAGTTTACATTTTCTAAGCAACAACTATTAACGAAATATTATCTAGCGACTATGAGACCCACAAAATGTGGGTAAGCATTAGTTAAATAGTCGAAATTTTAACTGCACAAGCTTAATTCAGCAGTTATGGAAACAGGAGGCTCTCGAGGACATTCTAACGTAAGCCTAATGAAACTTACTGAACAGATGATAGAAACAAACAAAAAATATTAAAGTTACGTTCAAATGATGTTTATTTTGCGGCGTTTCTAGCGGACTAAGCGAACAGAATGACAGTCGAAAGTATACAGTTGTTAACTTAAAGGTTTAAGTAACTTCTTTAATGCACTTAATTTACCACTTATGGTTTCTACATGTTATTTAAATTCAACTAATCACGTGTAGTCTAATCTTTGTTATTTAATTAACCATGTATAGTCTAATCGTTTTATTTAATTACCCATGTGTGGTCTAACCTTTGTTATTTAATTAGCCATGTGTAGTCTAACCTTTGTTATATAATTAACCATGTGTGGTCTAACCTTTGTTATTTAATGAACAATGCATAGTCTAACCTTTGTTATTTAATTAACCGTGTGCACTCTAACCTTTGTTATTTAACTAACCATGTGTAAGTCTAACCTTTTTTTACTTCATTAGCCATGTACAGTTTAACCTTGGTTATTTAATTAACCATACACAGTCTAACCTTTGTTATTTAATTAATCGTGTATAGTCTAACCTCTGATATTCAATTAACCATGTGCGGTCTAGCCTTTGTTATTTAATTAACCATGTGTGGTCTAACCTCTGATATTTAATTAATCATGTGTAGTCTAACCTTTGTTATTTATTCAACCATTTATACTCTAATATTTGTTATTTAATTAACCGTGTGGATTAATCTTTACTTTTATAGCATATATAGTGTGGTTAGCATATTATTGTTTGTTTGTTGTTAAGCGCAAAGCTACACAATGGGCAATCAATGTTGTGTTCCCTGCGGATATCGAAACCCAATTTTTAGTGTTATAAAAGGCAGCTACATCGGAGAGTAAGATATATTATGTCTTCTTTACTTTCACTCATAAATTCTTTTAATTTATTATTTGATTAATCATTTGTAATCTGATTCTAGTTATTTAATTAACTGTTTCTGGTCTGACCTTTGTTGTTTAATTAAACAGGTGTGGTATGATCCCAATTATTTAATTAACCATCTGCAGTTTGACTTAATTATATAATTAACTAGTTGTGACCTGTGTCTTTGTTATTTAATTTGATTAACCACTCGAGACCTAACCTTTGACGTATGCAATTCAAATAGCACTTGTTAACCTCAACCTTTGTAAGATAGGTGAAGTAAAAAAAAAAGTCTTACAGCCCAGGTGCAATTTACATATAACATATATATGAGAAAGTTCGTATATTTCAAATCTGATGACGCAACTTTAACAATATCCCATTTGAACAGTAGTACTATTAAGATATTGTACTTTAGAAGTCTGAATAATCAAATTCCTAAATGTATCACACACACACACTTATTATTTACATGACCAAGTTGAGCTTATACTCACGTGGTTTCTCTTTCATATGTCTTGTAAAATCCAAAACAAAATAACAATCTTAAGACTTCCGTAAACAAAAATATAAACCAAGAACTTTAGGAACACATGATATTTCAGGATAGGATAAACCTGAAGTTTGCTGAAAAATTATATAAACGTGATATATCTATAGCAATCCGAATAGTCATTTCGAAAGCGTTAAATGGTGAGAGTGGTTTAGTGCTACGTTTTGTAATTGTAAGTAAACAAAACTTACTATACCATTAATTTCGAGGAAACAAGTTTTAATTCGTGTTCGTTTGCCGCTGTTTTTATATAAATGTATAGTATTTTTTTGCAACCTAACTAATTGCGGCATAAATCTTGAGTTCCAACGAGGGTCATACTAATCAATTTTGGATCAAACGCAGGTAAATTGTTTAGGTATCACCCCGAAAGCATGTGAATATTCACATTCCAAGCGTATGTTATTCACGTAGCATATTTTCAACGGAAAATCTCAGACATCTATCTATATAAAGTATTGTCCGTCTGTCTGTCTAATGTCAGAAGGTTTTGTAAGGAACTGGCTGAACCAATTTCGATGACATTCGTGTGCTACGGTTCAAAATAATTAAAGGGTGCAGCCCAAATGCCCATTTATATCATTACTTATTTTAAGCCCAGTATTGCTTGGGACCCTTGCTAGATAAACTACTGAAAAATGAAAACACTTCTTACACTGATCCAATATGCTGAGTTTCATTCAATATTTGACTTTTTTAAAACAAAGAACGTCATCTAATTTTCAGAATATATATACTAATAACATAACTGCGAAAAAAAAAAAAAACGTTATAAAAATTATAAGATAAACGCAAACTTTGCATCTAACCTTTAACTGACAGTTTACAACTTGTTTCTTCTTCTCCGTAAACATTATATGCTTCACAGGTATAAAGTCCAGCGTCTTCGGGGAATATATCAGCAATGACTAGGGTGTGTGTTGTGCCATCTGGTGACGAAACATAGCGAAAGTCACTGCAGTTTTTGATTTCTTGATAATTATGAACCCAGGTAATTTCGATTGGAGGCGTGCCTAGAACAAGTTAAAGTGCGTTTGAAGAGCAGCTTTAGTGAAAGCTTCTATACTATGTATTTTAATTCTAGATAAGATTAAGGTATGTTTGGAGACTGGTACACAAATATTCTCACAACCAAGCTATTTAGATTAGGGAGAAGATGATCATAACTGGATTAAACAAAATAGATTTAAATATTCACATTATCTATCTGAATAATAAAACCTTGAGCAGAACTTCGAAAATCATTAAAATAATAAAACTACAAATAAATACTAACATCCTCAAGAAAAACGAAATTAGGCCCAAAGGAGAAATGTTTTATCTGTAATAACAGTAATATACAATGGGTTAAGTAAAAACTACAAAAGTAAATAGTAGTTCACTGGCTAAGATGCAATGTTTATGACTTTAAATGTTATTAACAAAGAGAATCTCAATATATTAAGTAGTATTAATAATACCCTTATAAGAATATTTTTAAATGTCCATATTTTTATAGCGTAACAGTTCATCATACTTAAGCAAATCTAAAAAACTGAAAATACCAGGAGAACACTGCGTTTCTAAGTTGCTCACTATATTTTCTTAAAAGGAAAACTTCAAAACTTTTTTTTCTGTAAAAGAAAAGTGATCTCTAACCTTTGACGTGAACAGTTAAAGTGACAGAAGCGCCATCTATGACTTCCAGATCTTCTAGAGTTTGGGTGAAAACTGGTGGTTCTCCCTCTCCAGCCACCTGCTGAAGGCCTTCGAAATTTTCTTGAAAAAAAAAAAGGAGGGAATTTTTACCTGGGTTGTCAAATATCTTTATCTACATTGCCTTCCACATGATCCTAAGAAGTGCACATGGTATATTAATAAGACCAGGGCTGATTTATTTTTAAACTAATGAACCACATAAAATTTGTAAAACACTTTTTAAATTAATACTTTCTGTGTGTTATTCATGCATGCGACAAAACGTATTACTGGAAATATATCTGTAGCCAAAAGTAAACCATATGGTTTAAAACGTATGTAAGCAAACATAATTATTACACATGTCTTGCGTATATGTACGTGTGTGTGCTAATAACAGGTTACACCTGTAGATTGTTTTATATGTGTGTAATTAATCCAGTGTATGTGTTTGTGTGAGTGCGTAATACTAAAATACATTAACACACACACATATATATGTATATATATATTAAGAGCCACAAAAATTTGTACTCGTATATCTTATAATAGCTGAATAATAACGTTCGTTTTGTTACTTT